ATCCATCAGTGGATAATCTTCACATCTGAACCAACTGTCATTGTCATTGCCAGTGTGATACTCCTGCATCAGCCATGCCTGAATTATATCCTTCCCCTACATCCACTTCTGATAATCAGAATTCACTCAATGAGTACCCGGCCCCTCACTCTCACTCCTGCAGACATTTCAGCTACTATGTTGATGTCTGCATCGCACATCCGCACATCCATCTCCCATATCAGGCGGAGGCTGCAAACAACAATATTCCCCCTTTGGCTTGGATCAGGCACTTCAAAGCCGGGCTGCAATGGGAGATCACTGTAAGACCCTGACGATACTGGCAGTTGATACTGACATCTTCCACAGACTTTTGTCACTCCCATCCTCCAGTACTCAGCTGCCAGGAACATCATTTCGGTCGTTCCCAGCCCTATTGCTCATATTATTCATTTGATTCCCAGTCACACCTGGAACACGGTTCTGGATCACATCTTTTCCTATCACATCTGTTTGTTTCATGATGTCGCAGATCCCGGAGATCCATCCCGGATCGTATCTGGCTATGATACCCCATGGTGGATGGGAGAAACTGCAATCCTGAACGAACCATGGCAATGGGATCGGGTGATGACTTGCTGTATCTTTCACTACCAGCATTGGCTAGTAAGATTCTTATTCCATTTCCTTGATTCATGACTGATCTGCTCTAGGATGGCATTGAGAATGATGGTCTGACAATTCCGGAGCAGGTGGATCATACCTCAGTTCCATCACTGATGGGACTGAGGTGGATTAGAGAACACCTCCTGACATTACTTGAGGAGCAATGTGAGGGCATCTGTGACAAGATGGCAGAGATACAAATCTACACTGCCATGCTGGACAGATTGAAGAGAGGCAGAGGAGAGTAGCTCTAGTCACTCAGTTAGAAATGTTGAAGTGCAAGTTGCATATGTGTTTTATGAGTACTGAAAATCGCTTGTAAACATTGCAATATCTAACATGATGTTATATGGCGAGTCCCGAAATAAACGGTGCAGATGTGCATCACCATGTCCTGACCACCGAGGTCCGGATATCAAGTCCTGATTACCGAGACCCCATTACCAAACTCCGAATATTGAGTTTCGAGTTCTGAACGTTGAGTACCGAGCGTCGAGTACTGAATGCTGACTGCCGAATATCGAACTCCGAGTTCTGGATCACCATTACCAATTCCCGACTCCCAGAATTTAACTACCGAGGTCCGAATATCGAGACCCAATTACCGAACTCCGAATATCGAGTGTTGAGTTCCGACTATCAATTTCCAAGTTCCGGATATCGAGTCCCGATTACCAAGTTCCAAAACATTGGGTACCAAGCATCGAGTACCGAATGTTTACTGCCAAATATCGAACTCCAAGTTCCAGATCTCCATTACCAATTCCCAACTCCTGGCATTAAACTACCGAGGTCCAAATATCAAGACCCAAGTGCTGAGACCTGGTTACCGAGCTCCTGGCCTTGATGACTGTCGATAGGATCTGAGTCTAAATACAATGATAGCCATCGCCCCAGTACCATTTTCAAATTTGTACAGCAGCATTCATACTTACATTTCTTTGCTTCTCTGTGCCCTTTTGACTTGTAGGTTCCTTTTGCAACAGACCGTTCTTCTTAGCATTGCCTAGCGTAAGGTCGATGATATCTTCTGTGCTACCCCAACCCAGGGCCGGCTTTTTGTAACTGTGCACCACAACTGAAACCCCACTCCCTCGCACTGAATGTGTTGGTGCTCGAGTGTCATCAAGAGACATTGGAAGGCTCTGGACAGTTATTGTATGCATCTGCTATGGATTTTGGACCTCGAGTGTCATCAAGAGAGACAGTTTGTACTTGGTAGTCGAAAGCAGGTACTGATGCGGGTAATTACACTTTCTACCTGTTTCATCTTCCACATGGTGGTAGGGTTCGTCAATCCACCCTAGCCCATCCGCATGAGGGAACCCCGGCATAAATATGAACAGAGTCCCTCATATACCATGCCCACCCAACCCTATCCCCCTCCACCTGATGAACCCCATGTCTGACAATCCTTCCAGAAAATCCAATCATACACCCAGGGATCGTACCCGAACTCCAGCTGAAGGCTTGGCATGCTCATCCGAGCATTAGAATAATTCCCCACAGTGGTGAGAATATCGAAGCATTCAGGAATTGATAAATGGTCTCGATGATGCAGGGTTTGACGATTGGAAATGATGGATAGCGTGTTAAACACGGATGCCCAGTACTCCAGGATCTCAGACATTCTTGGCAGTTCCTTGCTTTCTGCCTTTTCTCCGAGGCTTGAAAATGTTTGTAACCCTGCCCAGTACTGCTCCAGATGCATGATCCTGAGCGCCGCTGATGCGATGGCTGCCGGCCTCGCAATGGTGTTTAGGATTCCCTCAGACAATGGTTCCTTTAATGATGCAGATACCTCTGGGTCCACTAGATTCTATGGGATTGGTGAGCTCAACTACCAAAATAATCATCCTATCAAATCCTACCTCGTGCCCCTGTTGAAACCATGCCGGAGATAAATTAATGCACCCGGCAGGTAGGCCAACATCTTCCGAGCGGCATTTGAACCACTCCAGATTGGTTCGCCAATTCCCATTGACCTTCATACTTCTTTCCAGACTCGGAGACAGCAACTCGGTGGCTGCCCAAATTTCCTTCTGTGGTTACCATTGGGTATTTAATATATATTGAGTAACAATCTATATCACACACCTGTGTTTCGGCTGTCAAGGCGTCTGGGAGGTACCATGCAATGATGGTGCCGGACACATCTAGAATGGTGGCAGGTATGTCCACAAACCTTGTCCCCTCATGGCCAGGAGGACATCTCTTAAACAACTTCTCCTCTTTCTCCTCATTGTGCCTGGTGTTCTTTGGGGAGATCAATTTGCTATATCTTGCAATGTCGATGTTCATCTGAACTGTGATGAAGGAATTTGAATGATCAAATGAATTTTCCAAATCTGCAGGAAGACCCACTCGGATTTTTATATGCCTTTATGAGGCGATCTACCAATCGATCGCAGGCCATCACTAGATCAGTGTCTAGGTTAGGAGAGGGTATCACGGGGTCTCCTCCTGTCTTCTCTGCATTGAATTTCTGTGCAGTATATTCAGATGCCTCGTGAGTGACTGTCAGGGCCCAAGTGCACCAGAGGCTTATTTTAATTGAAGAAGTGGAAGAACCATTCATGATGAAGTCGATCTTGGGAAATCAGAAGCTGAATGCTGGACGCCCAGAGGTTGGTGTTAAAGGGGGTGGAGATAGTCAGGATCAGATAAGGGAGCCGAAATACCAGATCATTGGAAGTGTGCTGGATATCAGATATTCATTTGTCCACTCCCGGGGCTCAGATCTCAGCACACTTCACTCAAATTTCAGTAGTTGGAACTTGGCATTTGGTAGGTGGTGAACATGAGGTTCTGATAAGAGAACCTTCCATGATGTTGGCTGTCGAAGATATATTACCATCCATTGCTCAATGAAATACCCAATCATTGGAAGTGTGCTGGATATCAGATATTCGTTAATTGACACCCGTGTCTCGGAACTCGGTATGCTTCACTCGAATTTCGGTAGTTGGAACCTTGCTTCTCATACAGCAATGCAACAGTAATGAACATGCAGCTGCAGGAACTCATTACGCTTCACCCGAATTAGCTACTCAGCAATCGGTACTGCATTGTTTTACAATTATCATTCACCTGTGCCCACCTGTCTATATTATATACCGCCCTCAGCCCACCCGTCTGATATAATATATCCCTGGGCCCACCCGTCTATCTGATACCCACCTACCTTGACACTCGGCCCACCCATCTAAGATAATATATATCTGGGCCCACCCATGTATGTGATAACACATACCCTCAGCCAGCCCACCTGTCTATCTGATACCCACCTACCTTGACACTCGGCCCACTTATCTAAGATAATATATATCTGGGCCCACCCGTGTATGTGATAACACGTACCCTCGGCTGGCCCACCAGTCTATCTGATACCCACCTTCCTTGACACTCGGCCCACCCATCTAAGATAATATATATCTGGGCCCACCCGTGTATGTGACACAATGTACCCTCGGCTGGCCCACCCATCTAATATAGTATATATCTGGGCCCACTCGTGTATGTGATGACAAGTACCCTCGGCATACCCGTCTCTCTGATACCCACCTACCTTGGTACACCCATCTACATAATATCCCACTACCTCAGCCCATCTGTCTATAGAATATTCATGTCCATCGGCCCACTCATCTACTCTACATATTCCACACATGGGCCCACCCGCCTCCATCGGAAATAATATCCCTCCCGGCCCATCCATCAACATCAAGGATATACATCACATCGGCCCATCATCTGCTGGCCCGTCTTATACAGGATATTATGTAGGTCGGGTGACCCGTACAATACGGAAATATGTCACTGTAATATGTGCCTTTGCAAAGTCTACGTGCAGCCGCTCAGGAAACTCTGTGTTGAAGCCATCGGCCGAACCCCTGGACTTGATAGATTCGACATAGTGAACCATTGAGTGCAGTTTAGGTATGTTGAAGTCTCCACATACGCCAAGGTCCACAAAAATATGCTCATGTTCATGAAATTCATCTAGTGCAGATTGCAGAGCGTTCAGGGACTGCAAAGTATGCGAATGAAACTGCACATAATATATAAAATCGAGAACAGTGTGGGCTGCTTGAGCTACCTTCGGTTGGACAGCACCAGCCAAGACTGCTAACCTTTCGACAGGATATGACTCAATCCATTGTTTTGAATCATGAAAGGGTACAGGTTCATCAGGAACTTCCTCAACATGCACCTGCTGATGTTGCCGCACAGTACAATTCAAGGCAATAGTGCCTACAGGGCCTATCATAGACACTTGTGCCCTAATGTAGATCGTTGTAGCGATGGTCGCAGTGCTGGGCTCAGAACCACAGTTTTTCATACTTATGTGAACACCCAAAACATACGCGCACATGTCCGACACACTCCGCATCAGACCTTCAGACATCGCATTGGCCGATTGCACTTCACATGCACTTGTCCATTCCGTGTCCTGTCCATCCAAACTAGCCTCACTAGGTGTATAACTATTCCCGTGCACGTTATCTGACATTTGGACCGCGTTATTACATGTCCGCAGCACCTCGTGTCTTATTACATAGGACATTGGACCCAAAATATATCGCTACTATCTTTGCCTGTAGTATTCCAAATTTCTATGTACTTACTTCAATACTCTGTAGTGACCCGTAGCAATGATCATCCAGTAGTTAGGAGCCATTTTCCGACTCTGCGGATCACCCAGAATATTCTCGTAGTTCTTAGTTGCATTGTGAAATATTACCATTCGTTCACCGTCATACTCCATCACTTGTTATACTCAGCACATACCACTTGCAATCTGACACTCATTATGAAGTTTCCGACCTATTATCGTGAAGTCCATAAGTCTGAAATCTTGGACATTGCACTTTGGCTTCGGACATTGGAAGAGTATCTTCGGACATCATCAGATTACCTTCAGACATTGTTTTTCAGTATCGGCATTTTGTTATTCCTAAACATTGTTGACTAGGTAGTACAATTTCTGCTGAGCCCAGCGGAGATTTACTCTTTACATTATCGCTGTCTACATAGGCATATGTGAGCAACACCTGCCTACCTACATTGTGCATTTTCCTGATGTAAAAGATGGGCTTGATTCCATCTCAGAGAGGGGGCCGATACCATAGATAAAAAAATATAACATGATGCAGTTAAATTGCAAGCTGAGAATATAAAATGAAATCTAACTAATTGAAATCTGAGTGTAATGAATGATATAACTTTTTGTCTGAGAAATTGTTCAGGTAAAAGCACTCATATAGCTCCATACTTGTTGCTGCACTCACCATATGGTTAGCGCCCTCACCGTACACAGGGATAAGCTCTACCGCATGTGTGACATCTGTAATAGGGATGATTGCACTCAGTCTTTGCCAACCTATGAGCCCCTCTCAATATTTTTGTGCTACTGTATACATACTGATGGCAGGTTGATTGCCTGGATTGTCAACAATCTTGTAGTACTGCACATAGAGGAGAGGTTGTTCTGCAAGGTAGTGGGGAAGTGTGATATGGCAGGGCAAAATGGGCTAGAAGACTGCTCGCACTTGAGCAATGAGATTAACTGTGTATACCACAATCAGTAGCGTGCAACCACAATAAAATAGAAATGATTTACATGACTGGTCACCATGTATTGACTGTGTAATCATGGCATCACAGTTTCCCATAGGGAACTTTCCTGATGGTGGGGCAGCCTGCACAACTTGACTAGGCATGATCATCTGCGAGCAAAAAATAGAGTGTAACTGTAATTGAAACTTGTTCCATGTCTTGAGACAACCACTGTCACAATTCCATGCTGTTGTGCATTGACCATTAGCAGCTTTCGCAATATAAATCAGAAAGTGCTCGTCTAAAATCTGGTAATACATAAAGCTGCTGGACTTCATTGAGAGCCATTTTAGTTCAATTAGGAGTGACAGTGATGTGAAATGCAGCTGTAGCTGTAGCAGATAGGATACTCTTCAAAAATGGTTTTAAACAGGAACATGGCCCCATGAAACACCATTGATTGGGATAATAAGCTGCAACATGGACGATCCACGCAAGAGCAAGGTCAGTTTCAGTGACCTCTTGCTCTTCCATGACTATGGCATGGGTAATGGGGGAGTCATGCATCCATAGGAAGAGGTATAACTGGAATCATTACATCAACTCCTCATAATTGAGAATGTTAACAATTTGCTCTGTGAAGGTCCATGACTGGCTGGATGTCTTCTCAAAAGGAAGTTTACAATGAGTAATAAGAAGACATTCAATGATGTCAGTCATCCACTAGATGAGGGTGCCAGTGTCCTTGGTGAATGCAGCAAAACTCTGCAAAAGCTCAAGCTTTGGGATAATGAAGTTGTCAAGTGTTCCTTTGGTGCCTCATCTTGCACCTGCATCCAATATTGCATGCTTATGGTTGTGAAATTCTCCAAGAAAGGCAACCATAGAATCAACAGAGGTATCAGAATCAACAAGACTTTAAGCCTTATAGATGAAGTCAATCAAAGCACAAATTGCATGGACCAATTGGGGGGGGGGGGATGATGCTTGCAATAGAAGGAACTAAGGTGCATTGCAGATTCCTATGTTCCTGACTGGTCATTGTTTTATCTGACACACCAGATAAAAAATAGTGCGTTCCTACTCTCTTGTGGTGGCTTGCAAAATGGAAATTGAGTTTATCCTTCTCCACTGCTTCTTTGCACCACTTGGATGGGTGGTTAAAGAAAAACTTTATGGCAAGTATGAAGAATTTCTCCTAATAAAAATGTGAAGGATCCACATATCACCAATTCCACCAAAACAGCTGGTGAACACCACTTAATGAATGGGCCTTAGCTTCCTCCTGGAATTCTCATAATCTCTATGGATTGATGCATTGACAGATGTTGTATATCACCATAAGAGTGTGTTCTTTCATGTGTGGTTTGTGGCAATAGTTGTCACCAAGAGATTGAGACATAGCCAATGTGATAGCAGAAGTGATTTTTGAGACACATGCTACAGCCTGCTGTTCTGGCAAGTCTGCAGTGTATGCAACCAAAGGTGTGAAGCAGTGCTGAACATTGGTGGCTGGATCAGGCATGAACTTACCCATCATTGCTGCAACCTTAGCATCTGCAAAAATGATGTCCATACACTTGTGGAATAGCCAGTGGCTCAGAATGGTTTGGTAGTCAGGATTAACATCAGTGAATTTAGGAATAGGCATATATGCAACACATTGCTCTTATCTGCACATCAGACTAGATGTTGCCAATGGTGACAAAGATGGGGTGTATTTTGTTACAAGAACATCTAGACACTTGGGCCCCTATCATTTTTCTCCTTATCCTCCTCATCTCCGCCCTTGCATCACACCCTTACTCCCGACCTTGCTCTTGTTATCCTTGTTATCCTTGCATTTCCCTTTGCCCTCTACCTGTTGCTCCAGCAGAGCCAATACATTTGGCCAGACCCTTTCTCTGATGAAGCATATCCATGCTCCATTCCACCCATTGACTGATCCTGTGGATAGTCCCTTTATCCCTACCGTCCGGATGGTAACCTATGATACAATGCACACCACATCTCCTCCATCCTGTTTCCTTTCTTGATCTGTGACTCAGTGCGCAGTCGCACATTGTACTTATACTTAGCCCTGCAGCTGCACGATCGTGCCCCTGCTTGTTTCACTTCCTGTTCTGTTCTCTGACTCATTTCCTATCTGCACATTCCGGTTTGCCTATGACTCACCTCAAATGTGCCTTTCTTTTCTAGTATCACCCTTTGGCCAGTTCCTCTTCCAGTAGTACAAGTCATCATCCTACTAATACACTTCCTCTCCTCTATATAAACTCACTACCATGTATCTAGTTCCTTAACTTGAATATACTTGGTTCTTGACCTCCTACTCCTAACAAGAGTGATTTCTTCAGCCTAGCCAGCTGTCTATATTCTACTTTCTTATCTGCTCATTGTGGATAAGTCTTTAGTCTTGATCTTTACTCATCGATGAAGTCAATGAGCAAAGCCCCTGTTACTAGTTGGACTTCTGACCCTCTATTAATGCAGATCTTACAATTAACCTTCAGGGTGTCGTAAGCCTTGGCAGATATGCTTATCATCGAGCCTCGCTTGACATAAGCTACCCGATTTGGACATAGGCATCAAATTTTAGTTGCCGAAGCTTCACTAAGTAGGACCCCTAACCTTGGGCTAGCCCGAGGACGTCCTCAACCATTGATGACACACGCTCTGTTTGAGCATCGCCAACAGATACTATCCAAGTCCATAACAAAAGATTCAAGTTCCCTTCTAACCCTTAACATCTATCAAGGCCAGCAACAGATACAAGATGACCTCCCCTTGGATTCGCAGATTCCCTTGGGAGTGTGATCCTAATCAGGTAGATACTGACGAAGAAGAGGTAGACGGACAGTTTAGCTCTCCCACCTCACCAACAGAACAGTACCACTCAGATGAGGGACTGAACGATGAAGAAGATCTAGAACATACACCAACTTCTGAAGAGGACTTTCCAGATGAAGTACCACCCCAAAACACTAGTGCAAACCCAAAGACAAGAATGTCTAACCCCTCTGGACCATCCTCCCAGAACACTGTCATTGTATGTGCCCATGAGCTCAAAGCAGGTGCATCTAAAGAGTATGATGGTAACACCGACGACATGCAACAATGGCTTTACAGTGTAAAGATGTACTTCCTCATCAACAGTACTGTCTATACTGGTGACCTAGTCCAGATCTCAGTAGCCCTGTCTCTCATGACCAAGGGTAGTACTAAAGCATGGGCTGATAACTTCTATCACAAAGCTTACAGCCACACGACTCCCAAGTTTGGGACTTTTGCTGAGTTCGAGAAAGGCTTTAACCTTGCTTTCCAACCCATTGATAAGCAGGTAAACACCCTCACTAAGATCACTGAACTTAGGATGAAGGACAATGTCATGGACTACATCTCGCGGTTCAAGACATTGGCTACCATCACCAATATCAAGGAAGGTGTGACACTCTCACACTTCTTTGAGAAGGCTTACTCCCGAGCCTTCATGAAGCAATCTACAGGAAGGAAACACTTCCTGACACTATCGACAAATGGTACACTGCTGCGGTCCAGCTAGATGCTAACTACTGCAGGAGTAAGGCCATCTCTGCCATCTCCTGAAACCAGAACTCTCAATTCCCCCCTCACAGTTCCAACCAGCTCCATAAAGAGAAGGATTTTTCAAGCAGAGGACTGCAAGAGCAACATGCATCCCCTCCTTAGATATTCTGTGTCTCAAGTGACACTTTTCTCTTCTATGAGTATGAAAACTGTTGCAACAACCGCCATCATTGACTTGGAAGCTGGGGGAACATTTATTTGTGATACCTTCATCAAGAAGCATAATATCCAAACCCACCTCCTGAAGAAACCCTTCCACATCACCACAGTAGATGAAAGTCAGTCCACTAGTGGGAAGGTCACCTGATACTGCATACTCTATATCCGGCTGCATGGACGAACCATGTGGGGAAAGTTTAACATCACTAGACTTTCCAAACAAGATGATATCTTGCTAGGGAAACCCTGGCTATCAGCTATGAAACCAGATATCGACTGGGGATACAACAAAATCACCATGTGCCCTATACCTAGATCCAGACATGTCAAAAATCGACTCAACAAAGTTTGAAAATAATGTGAGGTAGCCCCCTATCAATTTGAAGGTCTTCAACTAATGATCGAAGACGAGGAAGAGGCCCCATTCAAACCTCTGAAGACACTCTCCCTGGATACCAAACACATCCTTGAGGAGATCTGACACAAGAAGAAGAAAAAGAAGATGAAGAAGGCAAAACCTGCCAAGGAGGTACCCACCAAAGAAAAGCATTTTGAGATGCCTCAAGAAACTGACATCATGGAAGATGTCTAGGTAGGGAAGATTGAACCCCTACCCAAAGTCAAGGAAGTTGCAACTTACCCTCTGACTGACAACGAGATTCTTATAGAATACTTGGCCGATGGTTCTTCAGTTAGGTTGATCGAGAACCTAACCTTCGACACTCCCCTAACCAGGGATGGAACCTCCAAGATGGAGACCACGAAGACCAAAAAGACTCCGCTTTGCAATATTTGGATCCTTGCTACGGCAAAGGAGGAGTATACGAAAACCAGTAACAAGGCACAAGAATTTGCCAAGGACAAAGCTCAAGAGATGAAGAAGAAACCATTCAAAGAGCTTGTCCCTGAATATCTTCACAACTTCGCAGACATATTCACGAAGGATGGGCTTAACAAGCTCCCCCCATTGAGACCCAGTGTAGACCATCAGATCGAAATAAAAAAGACTTTATTCCAAAATCCTCCCGTGCTTACCTGCTCTCTCCGAAAGAAATAGAAGTGGTTAAAGCATTTCTGGACGAACATCTCCAGAAAGATTTTATCCAACCATTGAAGTTGCCTTAAGCCTCAGGCTTCTTCTTTGTAGGAAAGAAGGATGTCTCCCTTTGCCCCTGTCAAGACTACCAGTATATTAATGGATGGACTATCAAGAACGCATATCTACTTCCTCTTATTCCACCCCTCATCGCCAAACTCAAGGATGCGAAATACTTCTGACATCTTTTGGACTCTTTGAGCTGAAAGTGATGTTCTTTGGGCTTTGTAACTCACCAGCAACATTTCAGGCCTATATGAACCAGACATTCAGCAAGGAGATAGATGAAGGATGGCTCATCGTCTACATGGACAACATCCTTATCTTTCCCTCCGACCTTGCAGAACATCAGATGCGCACTCGAATGGGTTTTAGAGAAGCTCCAGCAGGAGCAACTCTTCCTCAAACCCAAAAAGTGCACCTTTGATTCCCAAGAGGTAGAGTACCTTGGGATGATCATCCGACCCAGACAGGTTGCAATGGACCTGGCAAAACTCAAGGGAATTAGTGAATGGCAGACTCCATCAATGTTACAAGAACATCTAGACTGCTTGGGCCCCTACCATTTTTCTCCTGATCCTCCTCATATCAGCCCTTGCATCATACCCTTACCCCTGACCTTACCCTGGTCATCCTTGTCATTCTCGCATTCCCTTTCGCTCTCTACCTATCG